CGAGACCAGCCGGGGCAACGTAGCGAGACGCCCCCCCCTTACAAAAAAAGTGTCCAAAGTCCGGAGCCGGCGGCGTGCGCCCGGTGAGTCCCAGCTGCTCGGGACGTTGAGGAGGGAGATTCGCCTGAGCAAGAGCGAGCTATGACAGCGCCGCTGCCCTCCAAAAAAGAAAGAAAGAGGCCCCTCCAACCCCGTTTCTCCGCGAAGATTATCCAGCCCTCCCCCTTGCACCAATACATAGGTGGAGTAGACGTCTTCAGATTATTTATTCATTCAGCAGTCATTCCACAGTGAAATGAACATAGTCCAATAACAAATATTTTGTAGAGAAGTGGACATATTTCAACCCAGCCGCAAACTCCGTGTGGCTCACTCCACCTTCTGCCCCTCCAGAGAGCCTTGGAGAGTGCTTCTGGGGCGTGGGGAAGGGACGAAATGGGTGGAAGCCAGGGTCCGAAGGGCAAGACGCCTCCCTTCTCAGGGAAGCAAAAATGGCCCCTGGCCGCCCCTGGCATGTGCCCTTCTAACTCTGCTGCTCTCCGACTGAGCCTGCAGTCCCACGCTTATGGGGAGAGCGGCCTTGAAGTCTGGAGGGGCGACGAGACAGTTGGGGGAAACTGCTTGGCGTCCAGCTTGTCTTTGTACTGAAGCTCGGGGGTGGCCAGACGCTCGCACTCTTCCTGGTCTTGGGGACTCAGTCCGCTCCGCAGTACGTAGCCCAAAACCTTAGCTGACCCAAACTGGAAGGGGCGGAACCGACGGTCGGTGACGAATTTGGGGTCTAAAGCCTCACCCCCTACCAGACAGTGTTTAGCCCGGGCCTCTCGGCGAGCCCGGAGTTCGGCCACAGCACTCTCCAGCCGGCCCTGGCCGTATTGCTCGATCCGTGCCCACAGGCTGCGGTTGAAGTGGACGTAGAGAGCCCAGTCCAGGTTGTTCCAGGCCCGGGCCCGGGCCGTCAGCTGCCAGTCCTCAGCGGTCAGTCCGCGGTTGCTGACGGTGCTGAGGCCCTGCTCACCTCCTGCCTGGGCGTTATGCATGAAGCCCACCACGTCATCGAGGCCCCAGCACAGGGCATCCGCCAGCAGAACCAATGACTCATCAAAGTACTCTGCCACCAAGACCAGGTCAAAGATGGAGTCCAGCCAGGCCAGACCCCACTGGATGAGGGGTGACGACCCCAGATCTAAAGAGGCAGGGCTGGATGTCTGGCCGTGGCCAACAGGAACAGCGGAAGCAGGGTGGAAGACAGCGCTGGGATCTAGGGTTTGGGCCCGAGGGCCAGCGCCAGAAGGCAAGACGCGAAACTGGGTGGAGTGGGGGTCTCTGGGGAGATAAAGACTCCTTCTCTTGGCCTTCACCTCGGGGGGGAAGGGAAGGCCAAAGTCAAACCACAATAAGTTGCGGGCATAGTGGTCTCCACGGGCCCCAGGCCGATAGAAGGCTCGAGGATTGGCCAGGAAGGCAGCCAGGGACGGTGACTTGCGGAAGGCCGACGAAGTGGATTTGTAGTAGGAGAAGGCAGAGCGGGCCAGAGCCGCCGGGTCTCGGACAATGGAAAAGAAGAAGCTGTCAGAAGGCATGACCTGAAGTACCTGCAGAGGAGAGAAGACAGACGTGGGGGAAAGAACTGGGTGGGGAGGCCAGGCACGGTGCCTCAAGCCTGTCATCCCAGCACTTTGGGAGGCTGAGGCGAGAGGATTGCCTGGCCTCAGGGATTCGAGAGCAGCCTGGGCAACTGGGTGGGACCTCTTCTATACAATAAATCAAAAAATGAGCCGGGCCTGGTAGCACGCACCTGTGGTTCCAGCTACTTGGAAGGCTGAGGTGGAAGGATCGCCGGAGCCCAGCAGGTCGAGGCTGCAGTGGCAGTGGCTGTGAGCGTGCCACTGCACTCCAGCTGGGGCGACAGAGTGAGACTCCAACTCAAAAAAAAAAAAAAAGAAAAAGAACTGGGCAGCTGGGCTGGGGAGAAAGCAAGCGCAAGCCTGCTGAGCCCTGGTCTTCTCAAGCCGCCTCATCTAGCTCTGCTAGGAATCTCCGGTTCCTTCACTTGCAGGGCAAGTTATTTAACATTTATAAGACTCAATTTGCTTATCTGCAAAAATGGGGATTGTCACCTCCCCGAGCGATTGTGAAAGACACATGAGATAAAGGATATGAAGAAACTGGAGCATGGGAAGCTCCTGGAGAACATTTATTTCTTTGGGTCTTTCTGCCTGCCTTTCCGTAAAACCTCTAGGAACCAAACTCTGCTCATTTCTCTAACGAAAAGATTCTGGGGATTCTTGGTCACAGCTGGTCCTAGGTCTCCTTAGGGTGGGGGTTAGGACAGGGTCACTGGCAGCAGAGTGAGGAAAAGGGGCAACGATAATGCCATCTTGGGTCTAGGCAGCAAGTGGGCAGGCCGGGCCCAGGATGGCTGAAGGGCAAGGTGCTTCGGAGGCTCCAGGACATCGCAGAGGGCAAAAGGCACCCTAGACTGGGGTGCTGAGGTGCCCTGGCTGCTTATTGGGGTAGCACCTGAGGGCTGGGGCATGTGATTCCACATGTCAGCAGGAAGGAAGGGGGGAATCAGGCAGTGCCAAACGCTAGCATGGCCCTGCAGGCTGATCCACGTCAGCATCTGATTCCCGGACTCTCTGAAGGGCTTCTGCCCCTGAAAGTGACTTCCATCGTTGACTCTGACCTCTCCCTGGCCTGATGTTCTCCTGTCTGCAAATACAGCAGCAGGTGGGCAGAGCCCGTGAACGGCCTCTTGGAAGGCAGAGGGCAAAGTGAAAAGAACAATCCTTAGCATCGGAGGGACCTGGAATAAACTCGCAGTTCTGCCATTTACTAATTGCGTGACTTTGGGCAGACTGAACTCAGGGTCTTCGTTGCTCCGTCTAGAAATCTGGGTTAGCACCTGCCTCGAAGAACGTGGAGGCACCTGGATCGTGGTGGGTGTTGGATGCATGGTGGTGACGACGAAGGTCATCATCCTGGCCTCAAACATCACTGCCGTCACCTTGCTCTCAGCAGTGACCCTCGCTGCCCCTCAAAGCACACCTATGCTCCTTAGCTGCCACCTTCAGCTCCAGCTTCCTCAAGGGTGTTTTTGCAGCCCCTGCTGAAGTTGTACCTCTGACCCACACATTCCTCCTCTGACACACACACACGCCCTACCAGTTCTTGCTGATGCTTTGCTCCCCCTGAGAATGCCGGATGTTCTTACCACAAAGCCGTGTCCACTTTTCCCTTAAGACTCCCCTCTCCAGAAAGCCCCACCTCTTTTGATGAACCCTATCCCCACCATTTCAGATGCAAACACACATATGGAAGAGGCCTTGGGAGTGTATGTACTTGGGTTCAAATCCTAGCTCTGCTGTTTTCTTTTCTTTTTCTTCCTTCCTTCCTTCCTTCCTTCCTTCTCCCTTTTCTTCCTTTTCTTTTGGTCAGAGTCTCACTCCATCACCCAGGCTGGATGGAGTACAGTGGTGCAATCACAACTTGCCACAGCCTTGACCTCCTGGGCTCAGGTGATCCTTCTGCCTCAGTCTCCTCAGTAGCTGGGACCACAGGCATGCACCACAACGCCCGGCTGTTCTTTTCTTTTTGATATTGTTGTAGAGACGAGGTTCTGCTATGTTTCCCAGGCGGGCCTCAAACTCCTGGGCTCATGCAATCCTCCCATCTCCATCTCCCAAAGTGCTGAGATTACAGGCATGAGCCACCTCACCCGGCCCGTGTCACTTCCTCTCTCTTAAAGGAGACCAGTCACTCAGCCTCTCTGAGACTCAAGCCCCCCACATGTATCATGAAGACACGATGCCTTCCTGGCAAGGCAATGGTAAGATTAGTACTCGGTCTCAGTAAATATTCAGTGAAGGTTAGTTCCTTCCTCGTGTGTTTCTACTTGCAAATTGACTGTTTTCCTACAAGAGCTCTCGAGTTCAAGCATGTTTCTGCATGAGCATGTTGAGTGCATATGCGGGTCTCCCACATTAGAACTGAGGCTCCTGGAAAATGTGACAGACGTGGCGAAGGGAATAAGAGGAAAACAAGTCAGAAGGCAGTGGCAGAGCAGGGCCCCTGGTCGTGGCCGTGGAAGCGAGACCGAGAAGGGCCAGGGACACCTGGAGGGAGAGTTGGGGGCATCGGAGCTGGCAGGGCACTGACCCTCGAGAAATAAAGTGGTCAAAAAAAGACTGGAGGAAGTCCCGTGTGGGAGAGAGCAGAGCTCAGCTCCCAGAAACTACTGGGGAAGGGACACCTGCGAGAGGGCAGCAGGAAGGCCCGCCTCCGTGGCCCTCGTGTCCGGCTTTTGGGTGCGATGATGCCCGAGACCCCTCAGGCCTGGGCCCCCTCCCCTGGTAGCCTGAGCCTCAGGCCAGAGCCCCTCTCTTTCCAATCCCACCCACCCCCGCTTCAC